ATTTGGGATTCTGGTTCAAATTCCTGGCACAGAGCACCTGAATTAGTTCATCTTTTCAAGCTACATGACGTACATCACAGATAATTAGCCAATCTATTAATTAGTTGTACTTAGGACAGATGCCCGATATTCTCTTCCTATTAGTTGGGATAGAGGCATGAGTTCGTGGTAAACAACACAGCCACTTACCAGAAGTCATAGATGTGGCAGAATCCTTTACAGGAGGTGTGGACAAGTCAGGGAATGATTGACATATTTGGAAAACAACTATTTGTTTATATTTGTAATAGTCTTCAAACTATCAAATTCAAAAATTAGTTGAAGTGAAAATGTTTTATGTAGAAATGTATCAGTAACTATTAGTATTAATCTAGTGCAAAGATTCTCAATGGCAATGGAGAGATGAACCCCTGGGAAATGTGTATCCAAATTTTCTGATGATGGAGTAGTGGAGTAGTTTAAAAAGGTAAATTCATCATACCTATTATTTTCATAATACAAACCTCAGAAAGTAAAGCTTGACAAATTCTTGGCTGGTGGGGCTATGCTGAAGGTAAATTAAGAATTTAAAAAATAATATTTTAAAAGTTTTCTACATGCAAAGAACACATGACCTCTATTTGCAGATGACATGATTGTCTAGGTAGAAAATCTCAAGGAATCTACAAAGAAACTAGAACTGATCAGTCTAGTTCTAGGAGGTTCATAGGCTACAAGGACAATATACAAAAGTTAGTCATTCCTATATACCAGCAATGAAGAGTAGGAATTTGAACTTTAAAATACCATTGACAATAGTGCATGGGCATGTACACACACAAATAAATAGTTATGCATACATCTAACAAAATATGTGTATGCTGAAAACTATAAAACACTTATGAAAGAACACAAAGACCTAAATGGAAATACACTCTGTTCATTAATTCAAAGAATAAACACAGTAAAGATGTCAATTCTCCCCAATTTAATCTATAGACTCAATACACTCTCAATCAAAATTCCAGCAAACTTTTTTTTTGTGGTTTGACAGGCTGATTCTAAAATAAAGTATAGATAGCAAGGCTAAAGAACTAGAATAGCCAAAACAATTCTGAAAAAGAAAAAAATCAGAAGACCCATTCGACCCAATTTCTAGATATTATCAAGCTATAATAATCAAGTTAATGTGGTATTGGAGAAAAGATAGACACATAGATCATTGGAACAGAATGGAGCATCTGTAAATAGATCCACACAAATATAGTCAAATGAACTTTACAAAAGCACAAAAGCAATTCAGTTGACAAGGTATAGTCTTTTCAACAAATGGCACTGAGACAATTGGATATCTATATGCAAAAAAATGAACCATGATACACACCTTTTATATTAAAAAATAACTCAAAATGAGTCATGGATCTGACTACAAAACATCCTATAAAACTTCTAGAACGGTGGTTTCAAACGTATCCCTGGGATTTTGGCAATATCTGAGACATTTTTGATTGTCACTGCTCAGGAGAGAATGTGTCTGGTATCTAGGGGGTAAAGCCCAGGGATGCTGCTAAACATCCAACAATGCACAGCATAGCCACCCCCACAACAAGGAATGCTAATTTCTTAGTTTGGATAAATGTGCCATGGTTATGTAAGATGTTAGCATTAGAGGAAATTGGGTAAAGGGTTCATGGTAACACTCTGTACTATCTTTGCAACTCTTCTATACATCTGAAATTATTTCAAAATAAAAAGATAAGCAAAGCTTATATACCACCACTTAAAGGCAATAGACTACTTCAAAGTCAAACATTTGATAATTTCATAATTTATTTCTATGGCAATGTCAGGTACTATAGCTGAAATGTTTTGATCTCTGTTGCAAAATCTCTTGACTCCTTCAATGAAATTTATTGTGTGTAGATAGTACCAGTCATGTGTTATATGTTGAAATTTTTGAGACCAATAAAATATTTTCAAATGTCTTCTCTTCAAAGGGATCTTCCTTGATCATCTAACCTAAAATACCACCTCTCTCCACCAGTGAATCTATCTCAGTTTTTTTCTTTTCCATAGAATTTTTTTCTGGAATAATTTTGTCCACTGTTGACTGTTTCCTCTCCTGGAATATACCTCCATGAAGGCAGGGACTTTGTTGTACCCCTAGGACCAGAACTGGCACATTAGAGATGGACGCTTAATAAATATTTGTCGAGTGAGTTAATTGTCCATATTTGTGTTGCATCTTCCCATTAAGTGGTCTGTATTCAAAAGTTGGAGCTGCTTCTTCAAACTCACTTGGCTGTGAAGATATTACTCCTAACCCTGGTATCTAACTTACCCTAAATGAAAGTAACAACTTACTCTTAAGCAGAAAGATAGATGTATTGGTGTACACATTTAAGATTTTTTACAGCAAAAGACAAATCCATTTCCTTTCTGCTGGAAATATTAGGCAAGGAGATGACAGTGTAGACAATTATCATTTTGTCCTTTTCTGGGAGATATTTCTGGTTCTACTAGAAAGTTTTTACTTCACCTGATTGGATGCTCTGCAAACCAAGCTGCCTTTACGTGTGATAGTATTGAGGACATTTCCAGAAAAATGTATAAACTTTCTGTCCAATTAAATTTTTAATTAAAATATTCCCATTTAAATCAGATGATTTCAGACATAAGAAAATTTGTAATAAGCATCAAATGTGGAAATTGGCAAACATATGTCCATCTCCCACATGGTAGCACCTCGTAGGTTATTGAGTTATTTATTGAGCTGAGCAGTGGAGGCACAAATGAAGGAATCGTCAACTCCATCTGGGAAGGTGAGAAAGGCTTCAGGAAGGATGGGACCCTTAGAGTGGATCTTGAAGGAAAAGGAATAAGTCAGCTAGCAAGAGTAGCAAATCCTAAACTGTAAATGTTGCCACTTGTCTTCACTTCCTTCATGTAAAATATGGATAGAAAATAATTCACTTTCAGAGTAGTATCTTAAGGAACACTAATCTCTCCCCCATTTAGAGAATTCCTGTCTTATACAGAAAAATGCACTTCTTACCATTTTATATGGAGAGGATGCAAAACATACAAATGAAGACAAACCCCAGGTTATTCCCAAACCAAAATAACCATTTTGCATCTTTCTCAAATACTAAATAATTTGTGAATCTAGCTGAATACATATATTTTGATATTTGGACATTAAAAACTGTTGAAATTGGCAATCATCGATGTACCTACCTATTTTGTCTTATCCTATAATATTTCTACTGATTCTATTATTTGGTCAGAATCAAGACTGAAAGATGTCTCATGACAAAGTTTGGAAATGAAAGCAAGTTCCATGGAGATTGTGAGAACACAAAGCTGTGGGGTCATATTGTTTTAAATTAGTTATGTTCTATGGTCCTATCATATCTATCTTTAAGTAAATTATATTTTATTGTAGAAATGTATTTTCTGGATTATTTAAATAAATTTTATTAATAGACTGGTTTAATGCAATTCATCTTTACTTATTACCTACAGTAGGTCTGGCTTTTCCTATTAAGGAGCTGAAGGGAACATAAAAGATCATATATTCTTTCAGAGGAGAGAAAACATTTTAAAGAAACATGAATAGAAAACAAATTATTTAAATACTAATTGTATTTAAGATAAAATATTAAGATGAATCTGATCAAATAATAATGCATGATATAGGCATTGGGGTACTATGGGCAACTAAAGGAAGAAATATTAGCATTATCTAGAGTTATCATGAAAGCCATAGCAATTGAGGAAGATCTGGATAGAATTTGGAAGTTTGAGCAGGATCTGGATAGAATTTGGGAGAACTTTCTAGGCAGTAAGAACATAATGAAAAAAGACATAAAGACTGAATTTTCAGAGTACTGTAAAGACTGACTTAGAGTAGAGGATGTGTGTTTCTGGAGAAATATTTACAGTAGGTTTGATGAAATGTCCTCCTTAAGCTGGCTGTCAATGGAAGTATGAAGCAAAGAAACTTTTCTAGTTTTAATAGAACTATGTTAATCTTGAAAGGAGTATTTCCTTCAGCAGCTTCCTTGAAAGCCTGTTTTAAGAATCCTCCCTTTTTTTCTTCCTTGCTTGCTTTCTTTTTTTTGGAGCATCAATAAGGATTAGGGTTTCTTGGAACAAGCTTTATAAAATGCTTATTTAAAGCATCCACATACACATTTGGAAGAATGTTTATTGAGATAAAACAAGTCTCTAATTGGGGAGTAAAAATATTGTATTCAAGATCATTATTAACCAGCCTGCCGTGTCTCTACTTACCTTGCTAGTGGTTAGGAAGGCAAGACTAAGAGAAATACAAACATAAATGCCTGGTATTTTTTTTCCAAGCATTTGACACACAGTGTATGTTGAGTAAACTTTTTGAGTGTCAGTTTTCTCTAAAATTCAAATCTATCTTAAACAAATGATAAAAAAATCAAGGGAGAAAATTTTAATAACTTTTAGCAAGCATTTTAAAATATTGCTCCTTATTTTGCCACAATCTCCAAATTTTTTTTGACAGTGTTGGGAAAGTTATACACAGCCTTCAAGAAAGCACTTTCAAGCAAAGTTTTAGGAGTTTACATTCAGAAACCTAAAGTTTTCTCATTTCTATAGCTGATGGTTTACCAAGACCACCAGTTCACCGGAGCAGAGGTGTACCATAGAGTTGACCATGTGTTATGGTGGAAGGAAACACAGCCTACTTGGAAAAGTCCACGTGAAGAAAGAAAGGGCTTGGTGGAGAATCATTTGCTCCTAAAAAGTGTTAGTCAACTCCCTTTTCTGGAGTTAATAATGGAACCATACAGAAAACGTACTCGACTAAAAGCCCCATTAATGGGGCAGTCAGTGAATTCTGTTCAATTGTCTGTGTGCTTCTATATAGCTATCTGCACCAATGAGGATGAAACCCCATATGAGTTGGAGGGAGAGAGACAGACACGAACCGAGAGGAAGATCTGACCACCACATATCCAGGGTTGCCCCTGAGCATTATCTGTAGATCAAATAAAGCTAGGTGGTGATGAGCTGTGAAACAGCATGAAGTTTGTGAGTTCAGCAAACTGCAAACTCCTGGCTGTTTTAGGGTCCTTGCCTCCCTAAAATAGTGTTTTCATTTCCCTCTGTAAGTAAGTGAAGACTGTTGGCTGATCTTTCTAAACTGGGTCTAGTATATACAAAAGTTTCTTTTAAAAGACTAAAATTTAACATAGAAAGTAAAGTAGTGTTCCTGTTCTTAACACAGTTTTAGGGTCCTGGTTTCATGTACCTTCTCAGTAACAAGATATTAAAGGTCATTTATTCAATGAAAGTGAGAGATCAAATAGTGGTGCAAGATTAAAAATCTTATCTTAAAAATCTTGTTGAGATCCATTAAGTGAATCTGACAGTGTTAATACATAGGTCATTTATTATCAAAGGAGAGAGGTTATCCAAAATAAGCGATTTGCTTGTAATACTGTATGAAAATATTTTTATATACAGATATAGTGTCAAAATTAAATATACACATTCCATTAATTAAAAGGCCAACATATATTATTCTCTTAAAAATATACCTACCAAATTGCAAACTCATGTAGACAAGTTTTATTATACATAAATGACAAAAGTAACTCAGTACTACGGTTTAGCATCCTTAGAACAGCTGACTTTCTCTTTTGTGAAATTATTCTTTATTTTCATTTTAAAACATTTTCTGTACAATTTACTGTAGGCACTGGGTTATACAGTCATGTTTAATTACATCTCTTGATATCTCTCTTAAGTATCTTGGACTTGTTTAAGCTGCTGTTTCTTTAAGGTATATGACTCTTGTTCTCATGGGCATTCTCCGCGTCTCACTGTTAACTCTGAAAGATTTCCAGCACAGCAGACAATTTCCAGTCTTGTTGCCGTATACTGACGCATAGTGAGCCATAACGTTATTTTGATAATAAAACAATGTTAATTTTTAATTCTTGTAACCTTTATATACTTCACATATTTTATATATCTTCTTCTGAAATTTTTAAGCAGGTTTCAAAAGTATTATTGCAACTAATTCCTTACATGGATTGTCTTACAAAAATCAGCACAGAATTAACACCGGTTGGTGTAAGTCTGCAAACATATGGAACAGTCGTTGATTGCAGCATTCAGTTCCCCTTGTCTATGCCCATCTTCTAGTACTACAGCATGGATTTCTCAATTGCTCTCATCCGTTTTTACCAGGATCCATTCAGTAACTTCTAGAAGGCATTCTACCCTGAAAAATTGCATGAGCAGATGGATTCTTGGAGGATACAACTGAAGTTCATGTGTTTTCATTGCCACTCCATATTTTTCAATGTTCTTTAGCGTCCCTCAAAATTTTATTCCAACAAGTTTTTATCTTTTGTAGTAGTATTTTTAGGAAACACAAGTCATTCTGTTTTTTATGTTCCTTTAAAGATTTATTCTCTTCCTAGGGAAATATATAAAAAAAGTTTTAAGTTCACATTTTTATAAAAATACACGTTTTAAAATATTCAATCTTTAATTTCCGTCATGTTAAGTTATACTGAAAATCTGATGTAATGAAAAACGAGAATCTCACATATTTTTTAAACTATAATTTCTAACTATAATTGTGATAATTGATGTGTAAGCAATTCAAAGTTGTTGTGGTTTAAGATTTAGGATAAATTAAAGAGCTATGTCGGTGGCTGCCATTTTCACCTCTGCAACAGTGGACAGAAGAATGCTGCTTAAACTTTCGTGGGAAAGATATTTGAGGATTACTCAATTGAGTTTTTTTTTTTTTCCCCTGAGGAAGATTAGCCCTGAGCTAACATCTGTGCCAATCTTCCTCTACTTTGTATGTGGGTCACCTCTGCAGCTTGGCTAACGAGCGGTGTAGGTCTGCACCTGGGATCCGAACCCGCGAACCTAGGCTGCTGAAGTGGAATGCATGAACTTAACCACTATGCCATGGGGCTGGCCACTCAATTGAGTTTTTTAATATGGAAAAAATGTATCTTTTGTGGAAGGAATAGTTAACACTGAAAATATTCAGAGTATTTTGGCAAAGATGATTAATAAGGATCTACCTGATTGGGCTTGTGCCTTAACGTCTACCCCAACAATCTGGTCTTCACTAGAGTATGAAAGACATCTGCCTTATAGGTTAGTTTTCAGTTCCTGACAAGAATCTTAAAAAGGGCTACCTGTAAAACCTACAGAAAGTGGAGAAAGAGATACCCCACGTGGAATAGCCATATAAGGGAGTATCTCTGCATATACTCAGTTATATTCCTGTGAGCCCCTGGGAAGTGGGATTAGTAGAGGGTAGGGTAATTCTTCATTTAGATAACAACCAATTATTGGGTGTTTTCTGGTTCGGGTATCGTGCTCAATGCTTTATATACATTAATTCGTGTTATCTACTTCATAACTCTATGAAATTGATGATTTCACCTCCATCATAGATGAGGAAACTGAGCTGCAAAGACAACAAATAAGCTGACACAGTCACATGTCAAGTAAATATAACGACTGGGTCTTGAGCTCCTCTGTCCTATTTTTAATTTAGTCACAAATTCAGATCTCTTTTACTTACATATTTAGTAACACTAACACATATTTAAATAATACACTTAAAAGATTAGACAACAGATTTCAAAGATAAATATGAAGAGGAATTTCTCATATTCTTTTTCATGAGGGTCCCAGGATATCTTTAAAAAATGCAAATTGAAGTTTATATGACTAATCGGGTTTGAAATACATAGAGGTGAAAATGTCACGACTTTTCCTCAGAGACCAAGATTGAACGTTCATTAAAAAGACAAAAACAAAGAACCATGATTTTAGCTCTGTCATCTTGGGAACACAGATGCTATCTCCCTTTGCTAAACATTTTTTTCCAAATTTTCTTAGCCAGAAGCCCTCAATACATATTGCTCCTGTATTCATTTCAAGTCTTCCACTTCAGGTGGAATTCCTAGGGTTTCCTGAATCCCACGGTTTGCAAACTTATCCTGCTTCTGGAAGAGGAGGAAGGAATTTCCATGCTCCCATGTATCTATTGGTCAAATAACGTTATAATAATAATGGAAATGCAAAAGAAGGACCCACCATTCTCATGAACCAGGTGTGTTCATTTTTCTGTGTCCCATCCTAATTAATATTTATATCATTTTAATATTTAATCAGATTAAATATGCTTTTTCATTCATAAATATTTTCTGTATCACTATATAATTTTGTGCAATAATATATAATAGTATGTGTATAAAGATATATATAGAATTATTTATATACTATTGTACATATATAGTATATATTGTACACTCTGTGCTAGTAAAATAGGTATAAAAGGGTCCTCATTTTTAATTTGTATTTCTTTACTAACAAGGATGGTTTTTTTTCTTCATACACTTGTTTTCTAGTTTATTTTCTCTTATATAAATAGTTTGTTCATGTCTTTTGCCTATTATCTATTGATGTTTTAATTTTGTCGCTTAAAAAAAAAAATCAATGCTCTGATATTTTCCTTAGCTGCTTTTATTTTAAAGTAGTGGCTTTTAAAAATGCAGTTGAAAGAGATCCAATTTCTAGGAAGTACCTCCCTTTTCCTTTTATTAACATTATAATGAATATTTTTCAAAACCAACCATAAAAAAGAAAACAATTCAAAGAGAAACACTAAGGAATTAAGTTGAGTAAAAAGCTGATAGAGAAAGAAAATTATACAGTCACTCTCACCAAATTCTTAGTGGGTTGGGCTTCACCCAGGGAAGGTGGTTTTCTTCCTTTAACCTTAAAAACAAAGTTAAATTTACAATATTGAATATTAATCTTTTATTGCTCCTTCTATTAATATAATTGCTAATTTTCAAATTACTCTCAGCTCAGCTAATCTATTTGAGAATCTGCTTTAAATTATTTATTGTTAGTGTAGCAGAATACAAATTTCATTTAGAAATAGAATATCAGGGAAAGGGAAGAAGCAAGAGAGGTGAGTCTTCTGAATACCCTGGATCCATCATTTTGCAGGTATGCCCAGCACTGTTAATAGCTGTGAGATATGAAAAACTAACATAGAAGGGTATACTGGCAAAGACAAACCTAGAATTTTAATCAACGTGAAAATAAAGTTAGCATTAAATTGTTAAATCCTGACCATAAATTCTACTGAGCTTTACTCATCAGAAGCAAAATGAAATAACAGTAAAAGCTTTTAGCATGCTTGACGCATCAGGAAAATGCAATGTAGGTGACCGTCTTTAATATCTTGCCTTATCATTTCAAGAAAAAGGTGGACTGTATGAGGTTAGTTAATTTTGTAACATAATTTTATTTAATTTCAAGATTTAAATGATTTGTGTATTTTCTTTCTCTGCCCTGTGATTAGTTGGTTTTGGAACACAGTGATCCATGCAAAGCTCAACATATGAGAGAAGGAATTGCAAATATAGAGCACACCTATATCCGTTACCCATTCTGAGGCCAAGAGGTGATATCACTAGTTTGTCATGTGGTCTTTCCAGTTGAGCCCTGACTTAAGGCTTAAACTCAACTTAGTGTTTCCAATAGTCACTACTAAGCAATTGGATGTGTAAGCAACATGAAACCTATCTGCCATTCCTGCGTTAGACAGTGCTTGAAATCCCTATAAATAAGGATTAAGAGCTGGTAGGCTGGGGTATGAAGTCTTTATGAATCTTGAGCTTGGCCTTACCGGATGCATAGAACAGGATAGATCAGATTTATAGAAAAGACAACAGTAGAAGTTCCATATAAGGGACCAACAAAAGGGACAAAATTGGAAATAAGCTTGGCAAATCCAGGACGCTGAGAGATAAGCCAGTCTTATCAAGTAGCTAACATAATGATAGATAAAGTGGTCCAACTTATATCATCTTTATTTTCATCACTGTCAACAGGGCTCAAAGATAATCTCACCGTTTTACCTTCTGTGGGCAACTATTGGTATTAAAAAATAAAAACACACACAATCCTTTTTCTATCATAAAAATGTTAAAAATTTCCCTTAAAAATCATAAGAAAGCTTTGGTTTTGTGTGGCAGCTGGTAAAATTTCTGAAGAGGGGGTAACAATAATAATAATAATATTACATTTATTGAAACCTTTTTAGTACTAAGCATTTTACATGAATTATGCCATTTAACCTTTTCGACATCCTATAGTGTAGCTAATATAGTTTTCTTCATTTTACCGATGAAAAAACTGTTGCCTAGTCTCAAGATAATATCTTCCAAATTTTGTTTTGTTGTTTATATTTCATAACTGCTAGCAGTGAAATAGGGAAAAATTAGCCCTATACTTTTCAAAGTTATTGAAGCAAAAAAATAGAAAATTGTTGGTCATATATATGCCCAGTTTTGACATATAAAGATATTTGTTAAATAAATTTGATTACCTGTTTTATTGGCTATGAGTTCTTATAAATATGTGCATATATTAATTAAAATTATTAGTAAGTTTTAGAGATAAAAATTTACCATTTTCCACTCAACTTACCACACTAACCTCCTTGAAAGTTATGGCAATGCAATACGCCTTCATTTATATTTACTCCCCTTTCATAAACTATTTGTCCTAGCAAAGAGATGAATAGGTACTTTTCAAATTGAGACTTTCGTCCTCTAAAGTTGAGTAAATGTGTTTCAACATTTAAGTTATAATAAGCACTTAAAATTCTGTGATATGTGATATAATAAGCACTTAAAATTCTGTGATCATTAGAGAATGGTAGTATCCTATCACGAGAGTAGTTTATATTTTTGTTCAAAGTAAACAGTCCTCAGCTTACCTTGATAGTGCAATTCAACAATTTTAATGTGCCCTGTGAAACTCTTGATAAGTGGAGATTGAAATCCTCACTGATATTCATTTTAAGAAATTGCTTCAACTTGCGAGCAGCACGATATAAAAACATAGGTTCCTATTACAGAAAAAAATCAGAAGGGCTGTGGTTCAAATACAATATTAAGTAATGATAAACTTTCTTAAGGAGTCTAAAGCCAGAACCATATTGCTAAATAATGCCCCACCTCCACCCCAGCTTTCAATTCCGGTTAATCACGTGACTGACAGGTAACCAGACTGAAACTATTTAGCTCCCAGGTGATAGCCTGAAGTGCTTAGAACTTGGTTTAATGATTATCTGACTTTTTAAAGTCTCTTTTCTCCGTTATATATGTGTGATCTTATCACTTAAGGGTGAACATATAATAAGTTTGTTCAATTTTTAAACAAGATAACCAAAGGAGAGAGCTTTTGGAAGCAACAATAATGAAAGGTATGTGTGGTTTTTCTCATTGTTATTATTTTTGCACCTTTTGAGCAATGGATGAATAGCTGGCAACAAGAAAATAAGGGGTCATATTCACCTAAAACAAATTTTTCAGATATTTATAGTAAGAAATTAAAAAAAAAGAATTTATGGATATGCTATTAGATTCCATGAAGTTAACTCAGCTATTGTAAGTTTAAAAAAGACTATCGAATAGCACACTAGTTTCAGTAGAAAGAAATGAAACAAGCTTTCACTGGAAGTTAGTAAATTATAATATTACACCAATTGGATGTAGTAGTGGTTTGAAGATAAGCAAATATTGAAAGAAAAAATTTCAAAATGCCTACAAATAAATTATGCCCGTGACTTATGTTTGTGTGTGTGCAAGCAATAGCTCTAAAAACAGTTTTCTGCATAAAAATTTCAGAAATAAGAGATATGTGTATCTTTGAATACAGCAGTTCTTCTAGTATTTTCAAAGTGAAAAATGAAATGCTAAAATAGAAAAAAATATTTGTCAAATAAGCACAGGGCTATTTGTAAAATAAAAGTATAAAACAAGACCATAATATAACTTAATAGATCAGTGGGAATTGTCTGATTGGAACCAAAAGAATATGTTATTAATATAATCAATATAATTATCTAACAGAGATACAAAAAAAAATAAGCTTCTATGAAATCAAGCTTGAACGACATATAGACTCCAAATAATTATCATTACCTTATTATCATCACATGAATGTTTTTTAAAAAAGTTAGATTCATTATTCAGGCAATTGCTATCAATTTCTATCATGCTGTCCTGTAATAAATAATATAAAATAATATGTTAAACTGAGGACTTTTCTAGTATGTAGTAATTATAAAAATAACAATGTTATAATACTTGGTATTCATATGTACATTTTAAGGAAAATAACTTTAGCCTGACTCACCTGACTAGGAATGAAGAATAGTTTTCTATAGTTGAATAATAAACAAGTATATACACAAACCCTCACATATTTAGAGCCCACCACCCCCCCAGACTCCATAGTTTAATCCCAGAAATCATTGAGAGACTCTGGCTCATTTGGGGAAGTAAAAGTACCTATTTTAGAAGTGCTACTATATAGACAAATCCTATAAATTTTGAAATAATGAAGTTGAGATGCATTTAAGAGCGTATTTGGTCCAATTTCCTGCTACTATCAAACAGCAACAAAGGGAATTTACATTAGAAAGAAGGTAAAACCTGTTGACAGTGAAAGCAAAGTTGAAATTCATTCTGCTGCATTTTTAACAGTCCAGTTTGTCTGGGATGTTTGAGGTAGAATTTTGCTGAGAAACAATGGGATTAAACGTGTGTAATGTAGGAGTGGAAAGACAAACTGGTACATTCTTATTTTCCATTTCTAAGGAATGCAGCATTTGAAGGTGGGCTTTACCTGAATCAAGAATTTAGTTGACATATTAGGATTCAGATTCTCTTATGCACAGGGTTGGACTAGCTCTGTCCAGCAAACTAGCAATTCCATGCTATCAGAGCTTCTAGAAGGACTTCACGCAATCTTAGCCTATATGTTGTCACCAAAGAAACAGGATAGAAAGAGGAGTAATGGCGGGATTTAGTCATGGGCTTCTAATCTTCATCTGCCTCTCAGAAAAGTGTGCAATACTCTTGTCACCTGTGAAAAGCATAAATGGTCTCTGGGTTTATCTTGACTTTAAATATATACACTAGCCTTTTTACCTGCAGGAATTAGTGTCTGCACATGTAAACATTCACTTAACCATTCAACACTTACTATGGGCCAATGTGCAAGGTCCTCTGCCAAGCCCTATGGGGAAACAATGATAAGAAAACACAGCCCCAGTTTCTTGTGCTGTTTTATATAAAGGGCAGATGCTGCATCCTTGGACACTTTTACATCACCTCTTATCTTTGGAAAAGTATGCTTTTGTAAACAGAAGATTCGTTAGTGCCAACTACCCCAGTCATACTGCAAATATCTCAAGTGCAAATAGATATATTTTCTGTAACTATCCTCATGTTGCCACATTATACACATTCCCGAAAAGGTAGCACAGAATTAATATTTGCCTATTAAATAATTTTTCTATTGACTTCCATTTAACCCCAAGAAGGACAATAAATCATGCATACATTCTCTTTGATAAAATATGCATTTATTTTTTGCTGTGCGATCCTTCAAAAAAAAAGATAGACAAATGTGCAGCCGATCTGTATGGTATTTTCCAATTTACCAAAAATATGATATGAAATATGCCAAAGAATTAGTACCTGTTTCTTGGAGCATTTTAACAAATAGCATGACACAAGAATATCTGAAAAGCCATATTGGTTAAGTCATTGTTCCAGGTATTTAACAAAACTCATTTTCTGCAGATATAGAAAGGTAATGTTATACCAGTTGATTTGTTTGCCAAGTGTTTATTACAGCATATAAAAAGGTTACTATACACTTAAAAGGTTGACTCTTATAGAAATCACCTTTATTACGCATTAGTTGACTCTAGCTCATTTTATGAATAAATTTAACATAAGTGTACATGAGTGCCAATTACAGTTGCTTTTGAAATTGTTTTCATTCAAGCTCTATGAGAAGGATGGCTCAGACCACGATTTATAGAAGCATGGAGTTGGAAAGAACCTTATATATCCATCTTTTGACTTAACAAATAGTTGAATTACTTTACCAATGATAGTTTCTTATAGGCATTGTGCTATTTGAAGGTTTTTGAAGATTTATTCATATTTATTATGAATATGGAAAATAACAAGAGAAAAGCCAAGATCATACTGATTGTGAAGTGCAATATTTTCCAGTATAAAACATGTTATATCAGTTGTTCCTAAAATACATAATGTCCTTTCAATTTGTAGAATTACATCTTCTTTCATTTCAGCATAGTTTTATTCTTTGATTTTTTTCTATTGCATTTGTAATAGTCTCTTCTTCAAAAACATTAATAGATTTTCTATTTCACTTTTTCTTTTATATATTTATCTTTGATTTTTTAAAATTTCATTTTATTTGGTTTTCTCCACTATATCTTCCATATGCCTGTTCTAATCAGGAACTCATTTGTGGGTTTTATTTTATTCTCCATTTTCCCCACTAAATCCAGAGAGCTCACTTTCATTTCTTCTATTATCTCTTCTCTGATAGTGTATTATTTTTAGCTCTTTTTACTTTGGTTTCTTAGAGACTGTTAAGAAGAAAAATTTTGGCATTTTCTACTGCTTTTCTGCATAATTAATCTGTGGTCTGAATTCTTCATTTTTCTTATGTATGTATTAATTTGATTATTTATGTGTTCATTTATTTTGGTAGTATCCATACATAGTGTTTCCTTTTTGACTTTCTGGTTATTTTTTGAAAGGATGCTAAAATAGGTTAGATTATTGTTCAGCCATTACTCAACCCCTACCCTACCCCACCCCATGGGAGGATGTATTAGTTTCCCAGGGCTGCTGTAACAAGAGGTACCAAAAACTTGGTGGCTCAAAACAACAGAAGTTTATTCTCTCACAGCTCTGGAGGCCAGAAGTCCAAAATCAAGGTGTCAGCTTGAGACTCTAGTGAAGAATCTGTTGTTTGCCTCTTCTTCCATCTGGTGGCTGCCAGCATTCCTTGGTGTTCCTTGGCTTGTGGCCACGTCTCCAGTCTCTGCCTCCACCTCCACATCACTTTCTTCTGTGTGTGTGTGTCAAGTCCTCCCTGTTGTTTCTTATAAGGACAAAGTGATGGCATTTAGGACCCCTCTGGATAACCCAGGATAATCTCACCATGTCCAAATCCTTAACATAACCACATCTGCAAAGAGTCCTTTTCTTTATAAATGTCCAGGGATTAGAACCTAATATCTTTGGGTGGCTTTAATTCAGCATACTATACAGAAGTGTTTCTCTGCCCACTGATGTTGAGTTTGACCAGAAGACTTGGCTTTGGGTAGTAGGTATTAGTAGGTTGGACAAGAGCAGAGGCTTGAAATGTACTTCCACAATCGAGTTTGGCCCCTTGCACTCTTTTCTTTCAAGCCCATGGTAGCAGCTTGTGTTCATCATCTGTTACTACATAATAAATTATCACAAAACTTAGTAGCTTAAAGCAAACATTTATTATTGTATAATTTCTTTGGGTCAGGAATGTGGGAGATTAACTGGGTACTTCTGGCTCTGCATCTTGTATGATGTTGCAGTCAAGATGTTGGCTGTGTCTGTAGTCACCTCAGGCTTGACTAGGACTAGAGGACTGATCCACTTTCAAGATGCCTCATTCACATAGCTATTGGCAAGAGGCCTCAATTTCTCACCACGGGAGCCTCTTCATAGGCTTAATTGAGTGTCCTTACAAGATGGTGGCTGGCTTCCCCCCAAGCATGCAATTCAAGAGACAGCAAGGAGGAGGCCACAATGCCTTTTATGACCTAGTCTTGGAAGTCACACACTGCCACTTCCATCTTATTCTATTGGTTCAAAGTGAATCACTAATGCAAGTCCACAAGGGGAAGGGAATTAAGCTCCATCTCTTGAAAGGAGGAGTGTCACAGAATTCGTAGACATATGTTAAAACTACCACACAGCTGCTCCTCCAACCAGTGACCCAGAATGAAGCATGTGAAGACGATTGACCCCAGCCAACTTGCGTAAATATGAATCTGTGATAAATGTATATTGTTGTATGCTTCTGTGGCTGTTTGTTATGAAGTAAAAGCTGACCAATATAGAACTGTTGCTTTTTGGATCAACTAATTGTCCAAAAATAAAGTGAGAATGGGCAAAGGTAATGAATTGGGGCAGCCAGCACCTTCAGTTCAAGTATTTTGCCTCAGAACAGATTCTTACGCAATTGCGATACTCTCTGTCATGAAGAATAGTTCCCTTCTGAATGTTTTCGTGTTTTTTCCTTCAGGAGAGAAGGTCAGGAAGTCTCACAGTGAATCTTCATGGTCACATTTGCTCTAAGTGAACTAATGTGTAATTATTGCTGATAAATGATTCTAGTCAGCAGCGACATGACTGATTGCTGTTTCCTTTCTATTCTCCTTCTATTCATTTTGTAGGTCTGGTTCTAAGGATTGGGGTTTTGACATAGAAAAGAAAGATTCAGTCTCATATCCGGCCGGTCTTTGAAAATGATCTTGGTTCCCACAGAAATATTTTTCATTTCTGATCATCACTATTACAGCCCATCCATGGCCCAAAGTCTTTGTATTATATAAAGACTCATTTGGAGGATTTAAAGTGAAATCTTTACTCTGTAGGGAATTTGAAAAAGTATATAATGTTCTTGGAATCCTATTTCAACTGGCACAAATTTTACCATTGATCAGGTAGCTTAGCAGATTATAGTATGAATTGGTAGCTGATTCCTAGTTTAAATGAAAAGTCATTCATTTATTCTTCAATCAAATACTTGTTGAGCATCTACTATGTGCCATAGAATAGTGGAGCTAGAACTGTGACCAAAATCGCACATGGTTCCTTCTGTCAAGAAGTTTACTCTCTGGTGGTAAAGACAGACATCAATCCAACAACCACAAACAAACCCCAACTTGATCATTGTTATGAATAAAAGGTATATGCTACACTGAAAACCCATACAAGAAGGACTTTATTAAGGAACCTCAGTGAAGACTTCCCTGAGAAAAGAACTCTTCAACTGAGATCTGAAGCATGAGTGAACTAGAGAAAGAGGAAATAAAGGAGGATTCAAGATGTATGAATGCATGTATGGCTGCATTTAAGTGGGAGGGAACAATGGCAGGTATGCTGCTGGATAAAAGAGAGCAAGG